ATATTGTAGAATATTTTTCACCTCAAGTTATTTATGTTTGATATTTGAAAGCGGAAATTTTTAATGTTGATAAATGTAATATATAGGACAAACGCAATATAAGGCAGGGGGATTAAGGGATGTATATGGTGGGATGGTTTCTACATTTCACTTGATATGGTAAACTAAGTACATTGCAAAGTCAATTCTATATACTATAATCCCTAGAGTAACCATTTAAAAAACTATACAGATAGTCCACAATGTCAGATTCATAATAAATAAAATGGTGCAGATGTCATCAAAAAGCCAATAGAAAAATGTAAGAGTTCTAAAAAAAAATCCTAGTAATCCAAAATAAGGCAGGAAAGAGAAGCAATATTTAAAAAGAGGAAATAAAAATCCAAACATAATAACTATATTAAATGTAAATAGATAAACATACTGAAAGACAGATTGTCAAAATGGATAAAAAAAATAAGATTCATCTATCTGCTATCTACAAGAAACCCACTTTTTATATGCTACAGATAGGTTAAAAGAAATGAAAATGATATACCATGTAAGCACTAATAAAAAGAGAGTTGGAGTAAGCTATATTCATATCAAACAAAATAAACTTCAGAGCAAGGAAAACTCAGAATATAAAGGGTCACTATATTGATAAAAGGGTCAATTCACTAAGACAACAATACTAAAAGTGTATGCTCTCACCTAACAAAAGAGCCTCAAAAATAAATGAGGTAAATCTACAAATTATTATCGTTGGAGACTTCAATACTCCTCTCTTGGTAATCATAAAAGAAGTAGAAAATCAGCAAGGTATAGAACTTGCTAACACTAATAGTCAACTTGATTTAATTGATATTTACAGAACACTATACACAAAAACAGCAGAATATACGTTATTTTCAAGTGCACATGAGAAATACACCAAAATACACCATATCAAACCTTAACAAATTTAAAAGAACTGAAATCATGCAAAGTATGTTCTCTGACCCTAATGGAATTAAACTAGAATTCATGACCAGAAAAACTGGAAAATATTCACATACTTGGAAATTAAAACACTTCTAATAATTCATGAATCAAAAACTAAATCTCAAGGGAAATTAGAAACAATTTTAAAAAGAAAACAAGCTATCAAAATAGGTGGGATGCAACTAAATTTCAGCCTATATTTACAAAATTAAATGGTTATGTAAGAAAAGAAAGGTATTGACCAGGTGCAGTGACTCACACCTGTAATCCCTGCACTTTGGAAGATGGAGGTAAGAGGATTGCCTGAGCTCAGGGGTTCAAGACCAGCCTGAGGAACTTGGTGAGATCCCCCCCCCCCCCCCCAGGGACTCCATGGAGTCTGTTCAGGTGCTGGAAAAGGTCCAGAGCTGATTTCCACAGCAAATTCTGACTTTATCATCAGGGCTCTGGTGGCCCATCTCCAGGCAGATTTGATGTAACCTTGCATTTTCGGTGGGCATGGTAGTCACAGCAATAAACATGGATCGAGCACATGCATTGGCAGGCGTCACACTAGGTACAGGTTGAGTCACTTCAGTGCCAACCCTGCCATCTGCTCTCCTGA